AAAACTTGAATTTAAACCCGCTGACTTTACAAAAGAAGTGGTTGCGGAAGAACGGAGCAATTCCCGTGTAGTTGTACACGAGGCTTACTCGGTCCGAAGATATGTTCGTACTCTCTCGATGCTTTTATCAAATTTCGGTTTAAAAGGCAATGGAAGATTATTGGAAGGAAGGCACTTAATCGAAGTAAAACGGCAAAAAAAAAAAGCTGTCAGGCGTATGAAATCGACAAATTTTAGCCGTTAGTCGTTAACCCTAACCGTAAAAATTTCACTTTAAAACAATGCAAAGAAACTAACCGTTAGCGGTAAAATGGCAAAATTTTAAATGCTAGCCGCATAAGCCATCACCCTTCAAGTTCTAAGGAGTTACTTTGTTTTCGGAGTCTTTGCGTTCGTAATCGCTTGCACTCTGAACAAGGAGTAGCCATTCTTTAAACAATGTACAAAATGCTCGCACATTTTGCTCTGGACTTAGGGAAACCCGCGCAATAATATTATATCACTTTTGCTGAGAAAAGTTATATGTATGTCGTTGTCTGCTGATATTTTTACGTGTTATTCATTAACGTTATAAAAGCATTTTAATGTCCAGCTCTGGTGTTATCGCGTCAAGAATTCTAGTGCCCAGACCTAATGCTTTAAATCCGGCGTGATGTCATAAAGTGACGGCATAAACACGTTACGATGCAACTAGTCATAAACAAATCGAAACTTTGTTTCGCATTAAGGGCTCGGTTCATGCTAAAGCACCGTGAAAGAGAATGCATTTTTCTTGTTTATCAAATTGTTTGAATGAAGATATCAGTTACAAAATGAACAAAAACAAGTCAGGTGACAAAGAGTCTGTGAAGAAATCCTGTTCTGCAAGAATATTTAATGAAGAAGTCAATGTCACAAATCGTTCTGCTGAGAATTATCATGAGCCTTTGGAGGCCTCACACGGGGCACGAATCATGGCTAATGAGGTGGGCGTTTCCTATCATTACACCTCCTTCTTTTCGTAAAAAAGAAGTACATTTAGTTGTTTTAGAAGTTACAATTTGTTATCCGAAAGAGCATGAAAAAAAGAAGCTAAAGTCATTTTCATAACAAACGCGCAACTAGACCTGATTCAATACAGAAGCTGTGAAAATAGGTCGTAATTGGTTAATTTCAATTGTAAAACGGTTCCCTCCAAAAGTAGCTCATTTCAAAGTCTGTCCAACATTGACGAAACATTTAACGCAACTGGAACTTTTTTACATTAAAGGCGTTCAGGTAACTGAGTTTAACTCAGAGACGTACGGTCTGTTTATTTGGCCTGCTTGTTTTCGTGTTTCAATTTCTCAGCTGCACTTTGTGAGATTCAGGAGAAACGACAGCTTCTAAACCTACTAACTAATGGGGTCACCTGTCAGTTTCGAACACTTTCTTTGCATCAATAAATATACCAGTCACGATCGCCACCCTTTGCTTGAAAGGAAGCTTCTCTGCGAAAGTGTCAAAGCACGGCGTGAACCCTGGTTACGAGTCAAAACACTGTCTTTACAGGGGAGGGGCAGGGAATAAATTTTAAGGTTAACACATAGCGAAGTTTTCTAACGAATCACAATCGATCGTCTGGTAGACGTTACAAAAGGAGTGTGTGAGAGAGTATTGGACAGAGTATTTCAGTCCAAAAACGTGGAGGAGAACTCTAAGTGATCGATAGAGAGGAAAGCAATCTTCAGCTGCATGTTCATTTCCTTCATACGTCCACTTAAGTATGGCGGCCGTTTCTTTGTCGAATTGCTTGACACTCAATTTGTACGGTGAGGGTCTTATTGTCATAGAAATGCAGTAACCTACCTTTTTTTAAGAAAGAGCGCAGTTGGATTTTACATTTTGCAAAGGCGCACTTTTAAGCATATTTTAAACATTCCCCAATTGGGCGAAATTGTTCACATAATCTGGATGTTAGAGCGGTGGAGGAAAAATGATGATGATGATTATGATAATGACTTGGATCACATGTCAAATGATGTCTAGCAGAGGAGGAATACCACCCCCCCCTTTCCCCACTAATAAAGGGGCACCTAAAATATCCCAAGCCATGCCAAGTGTTACTTGGAAATCAATTAAAAAAACCCAAACTAATAATACATACAACTAACCTTGTCTAAAGTGCACTAGATTCTCCTTAGTTTGAAACC